GATCAAGGTAAGCACTCTGCTGCTTGAGGCACAGTGCCATTCTGGTTTTCTGGTAGCTAATTAGAGATAAGAATCTCACAGACTTTCCTGATGGCTTTGAACTGCGATTCTCAGATCTCAGCCTCCTGAGTAGCTAGGATCACAGGCATGAGGCACTGGAGCCAGGCTTCCATAATTTTTTTTAATAGATTGCAAATAATTTTTATCAGGTAAAATGGATACTCCACAATGATGGAAGGAGGGAGTGCTGAGGATAGAACCCAAAGCCTCACACTTGCTAGGCATGTATGCTACCACTAAGCTGCCTGACACTCCATAAGGAAAGTTCAGGTTATCATGGACACAGCCTGATCAACCCACTCTCTCAGAGCTGTTTCAATAAATAGTGAAGGGGTCAAGACCTTGTGGAGGGCAGACTGCAGAGGCTAAAACTCTTCCACCCTACTACCATATTGACTCAATGTCTCCATTTCTGAATGATAAGGGAGTAGTGAGAGGGAGGATAATAGCTAGCAAAATATAGTACTGAGGGTCGAGAGTAGTTCTAATGTTGTCTAGCACAATAGGCTTGTAACGGTCTACAAAAATTACTTTCAAAATAATGAGAGGAGAAGAGTATGCAGATTTCAACATACAAATGGTAATATCCAGCTTGCTGTGGATGGCTCATGCCTGTAATCCTAGCTACTCAGAAGGCTGAGATCTGGAGAATCACAGTAGCCCAAACAAAAAAAGTCTGTGAGACTCCATCTCCAATTAACCAGCCAAAAAGCTATATTGGAGGCATGGCTCAAGTGGCAGAGTGTCAGCCATGAACAAGCAAGCAAGAGCATGAAGCCCTGAATTCGTACATATCAGCAAAAAATGTATGAATATTGTATGTCAATTTAAAAAGTAGTCAATGAATATCTGAGGCTTTGAGGGTCTTTAGAAAAAGTAAAGCTGCTTTTTTTTTTTCATGAGCCAGGCACTTTCAAATTGCTTTTTTCTTTCTTTTTTAAAATAATTTTTTATTGTGATTAAATGATTAGATACATTTCACAAATTTCACAGTATTGTGAGATAGTGATACTTAAAGTCACAAACACATTCTAATCTTCAGGAGGCAACTTGTCCTTATCATGGTCTATAAAGTTTGTGAATTCTATGAGCTTTGACAATATAACTATTTCTTCCACACAGGGTGATATGTACATTTTTTTCCTTTTGCTTATTGTAAGCTGTTCCCTGTCATTCCCTCCCTCCCATTGCTGCCTTTGAGTTGCTTAGTTCATTTTCATCAATGTCCAGTGCAGCTGATGGGCCCCTCTGTTGTGTGTTTTCCCCTGTTTCCCTCTGTTTGTGTCCTCCTCCTAGCTTCTCGCAGATGTGTGCGTATATGTGTGTGTGTATGCACACATACACACACACACACACACATATACATATACACACACTGTATATGTGGTCAACAACATGAGGTCAATTAGTAATGATATGACAAGATGAGTGGAGGCCCTTTGTTTCTCAAGTCCTGTTTACTTTGTCATATCTCCTTGCATTTTGGATTTAACATCCATAGTATAAGGGAGACTATGTGCCGTTTGTCTCTTTGCTCTTGGCTTATCTCGCTCAAAATGATTTTTTCTAGTTCCATTCATTTCCCTGCAAAAAAAGCTGCTTTTTTTATGTTTGTTTGGTTTTTTTTGGGTCCAGTCGTGGGGCCTGAACTCTGGGCCTGGGCGCTGTCCCTCAGCTCTTTAGCTCAAGGCTAGCACTCTACCACTTGAGCCACAGCGCCACTTCCGGCTTTTTTCTTTTTGTTTTGTGTGGTGCTGAGGAATTGAACCCAGGGCCTCAGGCATGCAAGGCAAGTGCTCTACCACTGAGCCACCTTCCCAGCCCCAAAGCTGCTTTTTTAAAAAAACAAATGCACATTCCACCAGTTATTCAATACCTTTGACATATATGACTGTATGTTAATATAGACAACTATGTGGGCCACTTCCTTCCCTTCTATATTTTAAGCTTCAGACCCAAGGGGATAGGTTTCTGCTGTCCATTCAGTACTTTACCCACACCATGTGCTAAATAAAAGCTCACTGAACTGAATTGAGTTTGCCTGGCCCTCTCTTCCATGTTTGATTGCTAATAATTCTAAAGAATGTATTCGGAGGGCTGGGAAGGTGGCTCAGTGGTAGAGCACTTGCCTTGCATGCATGAGGCCCTGGGTTCGATTCCTCAGCACCACATAAGCAAAAAGAAAAAAGCCAGAAGTGGCGCTGTGGCTCAAGTGGTAGAGCACTGGCTTTGAGCTGAAGAGCTGAGGGACAGCGGCCAGGCCCAGAGTTCAGGCCCCACAACTGGACCAAAAAAAAAAAAAAAGAATGTATTTGGAAAGAATTCCAAGTGAAAAGGAATGATGAGAGATTACTTTAAAAATTTAACAGTTTATAGATGCTATACCAAGAATGATCAAATATTAAAGTACCACATACCAAAGTATCAAAGTTATTTGGTGAGAAGCTAAACTACTTGCTAAGCCATATTATTTATTGTTTGTTTATTGGCCATACTGGGGTTTGAACTCAGACTTTTGGTGCTGATTAGGCAAGCACTGTATTGCATAAGTCATACTGCTAGCTCTCAATTTTCTTTTTAAAACTAGACATCAGGATGGATATGCCAGTGGCTCATGACTATAATCTTAGCTACTCAGGAGGCTGAAATCTGAGGACTGTAGTTTGAGGCTAGCCTGGGCAGGAAAGCCTTATGAGACTCATCTCCACCAAAAAAAAAAAAAAAGCTAGAAGTGGAGTTGTGGGTCAAGTGGTAGAGGGCAAGCCTTAGGCATAAATGCTCAGGGGTAGCACTTAGGCCTTGAGTTCAAGCCCAAGGACAGGCACGAAAAACAACAACAACTAGACATCACTAACTTATACGTTGCTAATAGGAATATAAGATGATCCAACTGCTCTAAAAAAGTTTGGTAGTTTTGTTGTTGTTGGTCTTTGTATGCATGTGTGTACTAGTACTGGAGCTTGAATTCATAGCCTCAAGAGTTCTTGCTTGGCTTTTTAATTCACAGCTGGCATTCTACCACACAGGCCACACCTTGAGTTCTTACAATAATCCTAGCTACTCAAGAGGCTGAAATCCAAGTGTTCTGGTTTGAAGTTAGCCTGGGCAAGAAAGTCTGTGAGACTAATACATCACCAAAAAAGCCCAAAATGGAGCTGTAGCTCAAGTGGTAGAGTGCTAGCCTTGAGCAATAAAGCTCAGGGATAGGACCCAGGCCCCAAGTTCAGGCTCCGAGTTCAAGACCAAGGACAGGCACAAAAGCAACAACAATAAAACAGCAACAACGAAAACCTAAATGTTCAAATTATGACATTATTTACTAATTGTACTTTGAGCACTTTTCCAGAGAAATGAATGGTCATGCTTACCTAAAAACACATGAGATTATTTATGGCAGCTTTACTTCTAATAAAAGAAAAACTGGAGCCAGGCACTGTGTTCATGCCTGTAAACCTAGCTACTCAGGTGGCTGAGATCTGAGGATCACGGCTCAAAGCCAGCCCAGGCAGGAAAGTCTGTGAGACTACAATAAACTACTCAAAAAAGCTGGAAGTAGTGCTGTGGCTCAAGTGGTAGAATGCTCTCCTTGAGCAAAATAAGGTCAGGGACAGTGCCCAGGCCCTAAGTTCAAGCCCCAGGACTGGCAAAACAAATCCAAGTCTGCCAGAGCAAGGTGGTCGTACCTGTTATCCTAGCTACTGGAGGGTAGACAGGGATCAGGATTGTGGTTCAAGCCAGCCTGGGGAAAAAAGTTAGCAAGATTCTATTTTGGTAGATAAGTCAGGTCTGGTGGCAAAAGTCCACTGCAAAGGAGACTAAGGATAGGAGGATCATGGTCTGAGGGTATCCCTGGGCAAAAATTCAAGACCTTATCTGAAAAATAACTGAAGCAAAAAAGGTTCCAGAAGTGGATCAATCAAATGGTAGTGTTCCTGTCTAAGCAAGCACAAGGCCCTGAATTCAATCCCCAGTATACCTAAAATGCCAGTTTTATGTGGCATATATGTAGGAATTCATTCTAGTAACATTCATGAAATGAAAACAATACAGAGATGGAAAACAGACTAGTGGATGCCACGGGTTAGAGACTTGAGACTCAGGATTGCCAAGGAAAAGGGTTTTTGGAAGGTAGATGTAGCAATAAGATCTTTGTAGTGTTGGAGCTATGTGAAGAAATTACATAGAACTTCACACACATATACACAAACACAACATACACAAGTATACATAAAACTGATAAAATGAGATTAAGGCTATAGAATACTAATCTTCTGGTTTTGTCTATGTTTCTAAGATGTTATCACTGGGAGAAGCTAGATAAAAAGTACATGGGTTCTCCTATACATTTTTTGCAATTTCTTGTGTATCTGTACTTAAAAATAGAAAGTGGTCGTGTGTGTGTGTGTGTGTGTGTGTGTGTGTGTGTGTGTGTGTGTGTGTGTGTGTGTGTGTGTGTTGGTCCTGGAGCAGGACCTGAGCACTGTCCCTGAGCTTTTGTGTTCAAGGTTAATATCTACCACTTGAGCCACAGCTCCCCTTCAGGCTTTTTGGCTGCTTAATTAGAGATAAGAGTCTCATAGACTTACCTGCCTGGTCTGGCTTGGAACCATGATCCTCTGATCTCAGCCTCCTAAGGTAGTTAGGATTATAGGTGTTAGCTACCAATGCCCAGCCAGAAAGTGTTTTCTTTTAATTAACTATCCAAAGAAGATATATTTTTCACTGAAGCAAATTGTCTATTTTTTTTGTCTTTTCAGAAAAGATGAGACTGGGGCTGGGAGTACAGTTCAGTTGTGGAATACTTGTTTGGCATGCAAAATGGATCCCATTCGCAAAAAAGGATAAGCCATTTTTTTTCTTTTGAACTAGGTTGAATTCAAAGGCCTAAGCAATCACTCACAATCAGAGCGTCATCAAATCGACTATGTATACATACTCACCAATAGTAAAGAGTATAGTTCGTGTCTGGACTTGTATTCCTTCCAGGAAGCCAGGAACATGTCATATAGCTCAGGTTGTGCCAAACACACCGGAGCTCAGTCACAGCAGACTCAGGATCGCCTATAATATTCAGTTCAGAGTTTAAGACTCTTCTTATATTGTAATATAAACCAGCTACTATCTCTATGGCATAGAGAAGGGGAAAGTGTTTTGGACTGTTTTATCAGAAAGATAATATCTCACTCCATGTTACCCAAAAGTCACCCAGAATGGCAAAAACCCCAATCTTAATTTGTTCACAACCTTCTCACTTACTTCCTAATACACAAAATACCTTGCTATCTCTGAAGGACCCTAAGTCTTCTACTTCTAACTAAAGAGAAAGGTGAAAGGTCAAGTAGTATTTCAATAAGCGATTACACAATTCCTCAATGAATGCGAAAATACAAATAACTCTTACTTTTTAAGTTTTACCAGCCACATATTGGTGGCTCATGCCTGTAATCCTAGCTACTCAGGAGGCTGAGATATGAGGACCACAGTTTGAAGTCAGCCCAGGCAGGAAAGTCTGTGAGATTTTCATCTTCAATTAGACACCAAAAACAAATGGAAGTGGAGCTGTGGCTCAAGTGGTAGAGTGCTAGCCCTGAGAAAAAAGAAAAAGCTTAGGGGACAGCACTCGGGTCCCGAGTTCAAACTTCAGCACCAGCACACACACACAAAAGTTTTATCAAAGTATAATTTAGTTTCCTGTTTTTTTCATCAATATCAATGCACTTCATTTTCTTTAAAAAGGTAAACATTTTTCCTGAAGCAGTTCTGGTACAAGATAAGTAGAACCTAAGCTGCTTTTTTATTGTAAAAATAGTGTATAGAGGGGTTACAGTTACATGAGTAAGGTAATGAGTACATTTCCTATCGAGCGTTGTTACCTCCTCCTTTATCCCTACCATCCCTTGCCTCCCCACCTCCCCAACTCTTCCCTCACCCCCAATTTGTAAAGTTTGTTTTCAACATAGTGTCTTGTATATTGCACTGTCACAATGGGTAAACCTGTATCCTTATTTCAGCATTTTGTTATTTCCCTTCCCCTCCCCAAATTAGAAAAATGTATATACAAGATACAGGGCACTGTCATCAAATACAGTGAAAACGGGGAAGCACATACAAAAGAAGCAAAAAAAATCATATAGTACATTTTAAAGATGTTAAAAACAATAGCAAGAAAGAAAAAAAAAAACAGTTGTGTCCCTATTGGGGTTCATTTCACTTAACATCATCTTATATGATCATATGTACATAGCTTTTGACCTTTTCCGCTTGTCCTAGACTTATATTAGTTATTGCAAATAAGGGAAACCATGGGACCTATGTTTCTTTGGGTTTGGCTTATTTCACTTAATATAATTTTTTCCAAGTCTTTCCATTTCCTAATAAACAGGGCAATGTCATTCTTTTTTTTTTTTTTTTTGGGTCCGGTCGTGGGGCCTGAACTGTGGGCCTGGGCGCTGTCCCTCAGCTCTTCAGCTCAAGGCTAGCGCTCTACCACTTGAGCCACAGTACCACTTCCGGCTTTTTTCTTTTTGCTTATGTGGTGATGAGGAATCAAACCCAGGGCCTCAGGCATGCAAGGCAAGCGCTCTACCACTGAGCCACCTTCCCAGCCCGGCAATGTCATTCTTTCTGATGGAGGCAGAACCTAAGCTTTTTTAATTGCTTCTTGTATGTTGTGAATTCTGGAGCCTTCAAATCTTTCCCTTTTTGCAGTCAGAATTTCACAATGTTTTCCAGATTGGCCCTAAACTCCTGAGCTCACATGATCAGGATGTTTTAGTCTTCCAATTACCTGGGATTACAAGCATGTCCTACTATGCCATGCCTGAATTATTTCTGACTTAAATCACTGTCTTTATAAAGCTGTTTGAGTTGTCATGTCTATAACTTAAATGTCCTTTTTAAAATATAAAGTCTTATTCCTCATAATCCTTGAGGGGGTTCTGTATTGACCCATTATCAATCATTTAGGTCATAATGTAATTCCTTTTCAGATTTTTAAACTCCAAAGGAAATGTGAATAGAGTAGGAATGGCAAGCTGTTATAAATCACAATCCCATCCTCTTGCCTTGAATTTTATCATTTTAAAAATGGTACTTTATAGCTGGGAATGTGGCTTAGTTGGGGAATGCTTGCCTAGTATGCATGAAGCCCTTCATTTGATTCCTCAGTATCACATAAACAGAAAAAGCCAGAAGTGGTGCTGTGGCTCAAGTAGTAGAGTGCTAGATTTGAGCTTAGAGAGGCTCAGGGACAGAGCCCAGGCACTGAGTTCATAAGTTCAAGCCCCAAGATGGGCAAAATTAATTAATCAGTTAATTAACTAATTAAAAATAATACTTTAGCCAGGCACTGCTCGCTCCCTCCTGTAATCCTAGTTGGTAGTAAAGCCCATCAGGTTCTTATCTCCAAGTAACTACCAAAAATGCTGGAGCTGTGGCTCAAGTGACAGAGTGTTAGCCTTGAGCACAAAAGCTTGGGGACAGCTCCAAGGCCCCAGAGTTCAAGCCCAAAGACTGGTGCTAAGTAAATAAAAAATAAAAACGATACTTTATATGTTTTGGATCATTGCAAAGCAGGTAGAATGACCTAGAGCACAACTATGCAGGGCTGTTTGGAAGTGGCAGAATGGGGTCCAGATATGCTGAACCAAGAGACAACATAATATTAACAGACAGGATGTATACAGTATTTACCTTTGCCAGGACCATTCTAAGCACCTCATATATATTGACTTACCTAATTCTCTCAAACAATCATAAATGGTAGTTACCACCATCATGCCCATTTTTGGAGAAGAGTACATAATAAGTAGTTGGCAGAGTTGAGATTTAAGCTTAGGTAGGTAGTCTCTAGTAGCCCTGCTCTTACTCAGTCTGTGACATATTCTGTATGTAATATAAAAGCCCGAAGGAGTTTGGGAGTTGTGTAACTGGAGGACAAAAACCAACCTCACTATTTAACAACTTTTCCTTGGGCTAGTCTTGTATTGAAGCTATATCATTCTGCCTACTTATCTTAAACATCTTTCTCTAAATATACTGTGTATACCAATTTTCCTTTCCATATAATCATGGTACTTTGATTTTCTTAAAAGGACTAGATTTAGAATATGAAGCCATAGAGTAAGTCACTCAATTCTTTTTTCCTCTTGAAATAGTCAAGGATAATAACCATAACTCACCTCACCTAAGCTTCAGGGGCCCAATTTATTGCAGGCATGGAGGGTTGGGGATTGTTCATTTTTCAAATTATAAATCACTACAAGTGTTGGGGATGGAGCTCAGTGGTGGAGTGATTGACAAGTTTGTGCAAGGCCCTGGGTTCAATCCCTAGCACTGTAGTCATAGTAACAATAAAGCACTATAATTACTGTGCATCATTATGGATATTTTCTGTGAACACTTTGAAGGCACAGGCATTCTTAGACTGAACAGAAACCAGTACAGTACCTGGCATTCATTAGACTCAGTCTGAGAATTGAATTAAGGAATGAAGAATATAAGCCCCTGGAACAAGAGACAGTGCTTTCAGTTATTACCTTCAGGGGGTGAGATGCACTTTTCCACCAAAGTGCTAGGCTTCTCACTTTCATTGGTGCTACACTGGGACCCCACTTGCAGACAAATCCTCTCATTTAGGGGCACTTCTGTTGAACGATGAGTTTCTGGAGCAATCTGCTACAGTTTGAAAGGGGAAAAAAAGATATGAGCTGTAGCCAACATACAAAAAAAAAACTAAATAAATATTCACATGCCCAAATGTATGTACCAACGTTAAATTCTCAAGTGGTATAGGTCAGAGTTTGTCTGCTAGAGTAATTTTGCTCCCCTGCCATCCCAGAAGACACTCAGTAATGTGTAAGGCCACTTTTCCTTATCATAACTTGGAAGGGAAGCTAGTGGCATTTAGTAAGTAGGAGCCATCAATGATACTAAAGGTCTTACAATGCACAGGACAGCAACCCTGCTCCTCCCAGAGAATGATGCTGCATAGTACCACCATTGAGAAATTCTAGTGTAGATAAAAGTCACCTTAAGCATCATGAAATTTATCTAGAAGCCAACCATGCTAACATATTAACTGTCTAAAAGCAATTTGAAAGGAGCAGCATACAATTATCAGAATTTACTGCCAAGCCCATGCAACATACTCATCAAACTCAAGGTTAAAAAAAAAGAATCACTAAGATTCCTGTAATCTTGCTTACCTCAAGGAGACTTTTCGTCAGATACTTTTCTGTACTGTTCATTTTTTTGCCTAACTTGTACGTGTCTATAAATTACAAAGGTTGCTAAATGCACTGAAAGGTAGATAAGCTTGGGCTGGGAGGGGGCTCAGTGGTAGAGTACTTGCTTTGCCTGCATTCAATTGCTTTGCCTGGGTTCAATTCCTCAGCACCACCATAAGAAGAAAAAGCCGGAAGTGGCACTGTGGCTCAAGTGGTAGAGTGCTAGCCTTGAGCTGAAGAGCTGAGGGACAGCGCCCAGGCCCAGAGTTCAAGCCCCATGACCGACAAAAAAAAAAGTTAACCTTTAGATACTATATAGCCATCAGCCACAAATCTGGTATTATGATTCAAATAATTTGACTAAAGGGCTCTCTAGGAAATTAAAATTCCCAGAAGTGATAGAGCTGGAAGAATTAAGAATGGGGCTGCTTTTAATCAGAGCTCCAAGGACAGCACTTTCTGTTTTGCAATAGTTTCTGACCCTGGTTTCAGATATTTCCTTTCCTAATATTCTAATAGCCATGAAGGGAGAAACTGGTCACAGCACCTCAAGCAGCTATTTTGACATTTCCCAGGCTTGCTGAGAGCTGAGCATGAGGGTTACTCAAGATACCTTCAAAACCAGGACCTAAGGCTACTCTCTTGAGAAGTAGCTGGCAAATCAACAATGAATAAACCAGAGCAGACATGAACAAAACTACTTTTTTGGAGACAGAAGAGTTGAAACTGCACTCTGACAAAGACAGACGGTCAGCCTGTTAGGACAGGACAAGAAGATTTGTCAAGCAAAATCCTGGCTGGGATGAAAGGGACTGAGTGATTAAGCTACAAGGCCATGGAGTATCCAGCAAAACTATGGTTATCCTCAGAGGAGCCTCCAGCTATTCTTAGCCAAGGACATTTTTCACAAGGAATTCCTGATTCCTTGCCAAGAAGCCTACTTATTATTCAGTTTCCCATATAGGCTCTGCCTACAGGGATGGAACATGCAATGTTACAAGAAGTCTTCCTGGAATGCATCACCATTTCAGTTTTCACAAGACCAAGAACTAGAGAAGACTGTATACAGCACTGAGATTTCTGAGCTTGTGAAGGTGAAGACTATTCCCCAGGATCATGGTGATCAATGACAGCTGGAAGGCTTTAAATGCAAATTTCACCAATTTCACAATTTTACTAAACTTAAGTCCCACATTTTCCCTAATGAATCATGCTGACCCCAAGGATCCTTGATAACTCTTGTTTGGAAGCTACTTTGCCTTTTGAGGACACCAGGAAAAAAGATACTGTCGGAATACTGTAAATTACGGTGTGTGTGGGGGGGAGCTGAATCCCAGGGGTTGGCACTCTTCTAGCAAGTGTTTGATCTTTAGCATCACAAACAAAATTCTGACCAGAAATTAGAATCATCATGGAAAAAAATCTATTGTTCTAGCTGGAGGATGAAGGATTTTTATCACACAAAGATTTTTATTAAGCCAGGCGCTGGTGGCTCACGCCTATAATTCTAGCTACTCAGGAGGCTGAGATCTGAGGATCATGGTTCAAAGCCAGCCCGGGCAGGAGAGACCGTGAGACTCCTATCTCCAATAAACCACCAGAAAACCGGAAGTGGCGCTGTAGCTCTACAGAGCGCTCGCCTTGAGCTGAAGAGCTGAAGGACAGCGCCCAGGCCCAGAGTTCAAGCCCCACGGCCCACCAAAAAAAAAAAAAAAAGATTTTTATTATACTGAAAATCTTATGTTAAAAATGCTTTAATACTTAAAGCTAAATCTTATTTTTAGGCACATTTATATGTCTAAAAACAACTTAGGCTAACTCAGTAGGCTGAGATCTGAGGATTGCAGTTTGAAGCCAACCCAGCCAGACAAATCTGTGAGACTCATGTATCCAATTAACCAGCAAAAATCTGGAAGTGGAGGTGTAATTCAAGTGGTAGTGTATCAGTGTTGGGTAAAAATGTTAATGGAAAAAAAGTGCCCTGAGTTCAAGACCTAGTACCAACACTTACGAAAAATAAAAGAGGATTAAAATCTCAGTACCAGAGGCTCATACCTGTAATCTTAGCTACTCAGGAGCCTAAGATCTGATGATCATGGCTCAAAGTCAGCCTGGGCAGGAAAGTCTGTGAGACTCTTATCTCCAGTTAATCACCAGAAAACTGGACGTGATGCTGTGGCTCAAAATAGTAGAGTGCTAGTCTTGAGCAAAAGAGCTCAGGGACAGCACCCAGGCCCTGAGTTCAAGTCTCACGATTGACAAAAAAAAGGAGGACTAAGAGAAGAGATTTTAAAATAATTTTAAAGTATTTTCATAAATTCAAGGTTCAATACTATGAAATTGTCATGAATAGGAGCTCTGATTTTATCAGAGATTACCAAGTGAGACATACTACTTCTCTATCAGACAAGGAACTAATTCCTTCCGGCAGATCTTGATGAATTATGTGTGATGGCTCCCACATGACTTTCCACTTTGGTGAATCATTCCACTGGTAGCTGCTATAATGGCGTTCTTCTCCACCCCTCAGGGAATCTGGCCTCCTTTGAAATTTTATCAAAAACTAATACTACAGTCCTGAACTTATTTATCCTTCTCCCTGAGGACCAATGTTCCCTTGTCACATCACACCTTTGCCAACTCCAGAATTCCTTTCTCAGAAGGAAAGAGAGTCAGGTACAGCTTCTGCCTCTCTGCATGCCTGGACCAAATGAAAGGGCCTGATGATTAATTTGCCCTGTGGGACTTCCTTATCTATTAGTGATGAAAAATACTTAAAATCTGATGCAAGATCTGGGGAACTAATAGACATTGATAAAGTACAGTAGTGGAGGGTAGATGCTGAGACTTATCTTTTCCTCTAAAACAATCATCTATGAATCCCTGTCTCTGATGTTCATGAGCCTCCAGTGTGAATACTGAAAATGATTTCCAGAGTTGATCTTGTCACTGCACAAATTGGGGATATTGGTAGATACTTGTTTGCAGAGTCCCTTAATCTGTGCAAAACATCATAAGGGCAACTGCCCAATTTGTTTCAGGGGTATATGAAGCCCTCTTTCACATATGATGTTACTGTATCCAAAAGTTAGAAAGAGGAGGAGAAAAATCACTTCTGCCATACATACAGAGCCTCAAGATGGTCCAGACAGGAAATCTCCCATCACCAATCTGAAGAAATGATATTTATCACTACTATAAGATTGATAGCCACCCAAACTGTCAAATAGCTAGAATAAGCAAGCAGGCCTTACACAGACGTCACCCATTATGGTTTCCATTCCAAACAAATATTAATTCTTGGGGAATTCTCTCAGGAAAGAATGCATCCTGTTGCTTTTCTCTGAAAATACCATGTTCTGAGTTGCCCTCACCAGGCCTTTAGTGGCAAAATGGACCAAATAAGATTAAACAGTAATATTATGCTGAACCAATAAATACTGACAATATCCAACCATTTGTTTTGTGATTTTGAGAATTTCCTAGATTTCAGCCTAACAATACTACTGCTAATAAAAGTTAACAATGATTTAACCACAAGTGTATTTGTATGTGATTCATTTAACCCTCTTCTTCAATGTACATACTGTCCTTGAGGGAGGAACTGTTAATACCTCCACAGGATCCCACATTTTTTTGGTGCTGGTCTTGAACTCAGGGCCTTGGCACTGTTCCTGCACTTTTGTGCTCAAGGTTAGCACTCTACCACTTGAGCCATAGCTCCAATTCCACTTTTGTAGTAGTTAATTGGAGATAAGTGTCTTACAGGGACTTTCCTGTCCAGGCTGGCTTTGAATCATGATCCTTAGATCTCCTGAGTAGCTAGGATTACAGGCATGAGCCATCCTCCACATTTTAAAAGCAAGGAAACCAAAGCTCACATTTGCCTAAGGTCACACAGCTTGAAAGAGGAAGGCAGAAATTTTCAAACCCAATTCTACTGCCTTTAAGCTTACTTCTTTTGCTAGTATTCAGCTTCATGCTTGTTAGGCAAGTGTTTTATCACTGGAACCAAGTTCCATTTCAGTTAGTAGGGTTACTTTGAAGTGTAAATTTCTGTAAGTACACAGGAAAACTCATTTCTGGGTTAGAACATCAGCCTATCTTCCTGACATCCTTAACAAGCTAAGGAAAAGAGATCTAAAAGGTTACTTTTCTTCAAGGTTTCAAATAGATAGTCAAATTGAGGCAAGATAAACTAAGGAAAATGAGGCATGGTAAATGGCTGCCAGGAATTAGAAACTCAAGCTTAAAGCTAGTTCATCTACTTCTCTTAAGATTAAGGGAACAAAGTCATTTTAGGGGAAAATGAAGTAAGATAGACTAGGGGAAAATGAAGTATGGTAAGCTTACAGCAAATACAGGAGATATTCTACCCATCTACGTCCCTTAAGATTGAGAGACCAAAGTCATTTAGGGGAAAATGCGACAGGATAAATTGAGGAAAATGAGGCCTAGTGAAGGCAACTCAGAAACATGGTATTTAAAAACAAAAGCACCATCTATGTTTCAAAGAAAAGGAACAGGATGGATTCCTTCGTAAGAGATGCATTCCTCACCCCAAGAATTAATATTTCTTTGGTAGGATGTATGCCTTCTGAGAGAAATGCTCCCCCCCAAACCTAAGCAACCTCCTGCCCAAAAGGCAAACAACAAGATAGCTTCCTTATCTCAAGGATAAGCATCTAGTTTATAGCAGGATGCATTCTTACCTGGAAGAAATACTCAAATGCCCCAAACATACAGGAACTCAGAAAGAGTTAACACCAGGAGTAACTAGAGCAAAGATAAACACTTGTCTTTGCATAACTTCTGCAATCTAAGTCAAGCACCCTAAGAGAAGAGCCCATAATTTATTTATTTTTTGCCAGTCATGGGGCTTGAACTCTGGGCTTGGGCGCTGTCTCTGCGCTCTTCAGCTCAAGGTGAGTACTCTACCGCTTCAGCCACAGCACCACTTCCGGTTTTCTGGTGGTTTATTGGAGATAAGAGTCTCAGTACTTTTGTGCCGGGTGGGCTTTGAACCATGATCCTCAGATCTCAGCCTCCTGAATAGCTATGACTACAGGCGTGAGCCACCCGCACCCAGCGAGCCCCTACTTTTAAAAGAAACTTCACACACCTTCACCTGCATCCAGTGACAAAATGACTATGGTAGTTGCAAAGGTATTCAGGGACTTCCAACACTTAAGGCCCTTCATTAGGAGCAATAGGAAACCAACAGCCAAGCATTGGTGGCTCACATTTATCCTAGCTACTGAGGAAGCTGAGGATTGGAGGGTCACAGTTGGAGGCCAATCCAGGTAGAAAGGTCCTTAAACACTCCATCTCCAAAACAGTCAGCAAAAAGGAGGGCTGGAGGCCTGGTTGAAGTGGTAGAATGGTAGTTATTAGCAACAAGCCTAATAAGCTCTGAGTTCAAAAGTCCAGTATTAGAAGAAAAAAAAAAAAGGAAGCCACAGTATATAAAAGGGGACTGGAATTTCACTATTATAGGCCAACTAAGGAGTCTATTTTGAAATGCAAATGCTTCTAGTAAGCTTCAGTTCTTTATCAATTAACATCTACGGCATAATTATCTTTTCAGCAGGGAAAAAGAGAAGGAAGATTAGCCAATTTCCCTTGAAGAAAAAAGCTTGTTCCAGTCTCATTATAATTAAACCTGTGTATGTGTATGACACACACACAAACACACATACACAATTTCCTAGGTACCATCAAGCCAGGGAAGTGGGTGGGACCACATTCTAAACAACAGAATGGAACACAAAGAATCAAAGAAGTCAAATCATTTATCCCAATCCCTGAGCCACTATATGAGATGTGCCAGCTAGAATCCAGTCTGCCTGACTCCTCCTACCACTGATCCATGTGAAATCCGTGATTTCACAATTCACTGTTCCTAAGTCTCATGACTAAGAAGAGAATTTTAAGGAGGCTTCTTATTCTGCCTCCCCCAAATTGTTGACAAATTCAGTTCTGAACACCCCTCTGCAGTCTCCCACCTCCACTCATGTAGAAAAAAGGGACAGCAGACACCTGTGATGCTAGCTACTCAGGAGGCTGAGTTGATCTGGGGATCACAGTATGAGGCAGCACGTGCAGGAAAGTACATGAGACTCTTATCTCCAGTTAACCACCAAGAAAGCCAGAAGTGGAGCTGTGGTTCAAGTGGCAGTGAGGCAGGATAAATTGAGGAAAATGAGGCCTGGTAAAGAAACTCAGAAACATGGTTCAGAAATTTTTATTCTGCAACCAAAGCCAAGGACCCTAAGTGAAGAGTCCTTACTTTTAGAGGGAAACTTCACAAACCTTCACTTGCATCTGGTGACAGTAGCATGCTAGCCTTGAGCATAAAAAGAGGGGACAGAGATATATAACAGTTGAATATCATGGCACTGGTGACACTTGTAATCCTAGGTACTCAGTATGCTGAGATGTGAGGATTAAAGTTTGAAGCCAGCCCAGGCAGGACAGTTTGAAACACTCTCATCTCAGCAAAACGTTGCATATGGAAGTGTGCCTAAAGTGTTAAAGCACAGGCTTTGAGAGAAAAAGCTAAGGGCCAGTATCCAGGTCCTGAGTTCAAGCCCCAGTACTAGCATAAATAAAGATTATCATAAAGGACCTAAAATTATCCATTCTGTCAACAAAAATTAATTTACTACATCTGATTGGAAAGGTCTCAAATTTCACTCCCTGGCAAAACCCACCTGCTACCAGGCCACCTGCCACCAGCTTATTATATCATGTTCCACATGGCCATTTACCTTCAGACCACATAGCAATTAGCAAGATGGCAAAAATGAAAAGTTCCCTGAAAAATGAGTCTTCTATGGACAGAAGCTAATACAACCAGGAAGGAGAACAAGAACAAATTTACATAAAGTAATTAATTAGTAGTAAATATTTAATAGCTAAAGATCTTAAATACATTTCATTACCAAATAATTACCAAATATTTTTAAATGTTGAACTCTGTCAGTGAAATACAGATACTGGGTCTAACCAGCCCATCTTGGTCATGTGATAGATGATAAGGAATTGAATTTAACTGGTGCCATCTTGTCTTCATGGTAGAGGCTGGGAAATTCCACCTCCCAGGTGATGGGCGTGCCTGAATTCCTAGAGGTAGGGGTGGGGACCTGGATAATAGGTTACTGGACCTGTCAGTCCTGTGCCTTGAATTCATGAGACTCTTGGGTTTCCTGTGACCCTGCTCCCTGCCTCTAACCCTATTTAGGTCTGGACCAGCTCAGGCGACATTATGTCATGTCTTGTATCTTTTGTCTCCTGGCTCTCCTCCCCAGTCATCATGGCATCCCACTTCAGCTCTCCATTGGAGTTGATCTGGGTTGTTGGTATTGTTATTTTGCTTGCTCTTTCCTCTCCTGCTCTCATGGCTCAGTTTTCTAACAATGTTAAGTGTATTTGACAGGCTGCAGGTCTTTGTGACAAGAGTCTATCTGCACTCACTGGCTTTCCAAGATAGACTCCCAATTCGACCTCTTAAAAATGTAGCTTTTCTGTTTCTTGCTATTGAGTTCCCGTACAACATCAGTAGCTATTGAAAATACAATTTTTACCCAAGTGAAAATAGAATGCAACCCCAAATAAAATTTCAACTTTGTGTAAGATTTAGAATTTGCCTCATTCTTGGCTCTAATTCATAATGTTTGCTTTAGTTCATTAGTGTCATGTGTTTTAGTAAACTTACCTTATCCTGTTTGTCTCCAAAATGACTAAAATATCTGAGACTACAATTTGGACTAGCTCCCTCGGGTGGATTCCACGTCCATATTACTGTGCAGAGGTTTTCAATGTAGACGCTCAAATTTGTCACAGGGGGCTGAGTTTCTGTGTAAATCAAGCACAAGAAAAAAAAATTATCAGTGCCAGCCAGTACTGCTAATGATTCATTTAGTCTATCCTTCCCCATTTTAAGCCAAAACATAATAAGAACTGAGTTAATATCTAACATTTACTAAGTAGGTACTATTGTAAATATTCTATATGCATTAATTCATTCAGTCTTCACAACCATGTTTGACTTAGGGACTGTCAAAGGGTCCAGGTGAGGGCTTGTAAAGTTTCCCTTCAGAAGTAGGAACTCTGCCAAGGGTCCTTGACTTTGATGGCAGAATAAGAATTTCCGGACAAGTCACAATGGTAAGAAAACTTGGCAGAGTTTTATTAAGTAAGTAAGCAGGCAAACAGACTTGCAGGCAAGCAGAAAGCCTAAGGAATATACTAATAGAGTATGGATACTCTCTAAGGGAGAGACACTGAGTTCTGACATCAGGGGTATTTATATGATAAAGGAAGGAGGTCTGACTTAAAGTTTTGCAAAAATAGGTGTTTACCTTTGCTTTCAATTACTTTTGGTGTTGTTATACTTTCAAAGTTCTTGGCAGATATTTGTGACTCACCCACCAATGCTGGGGCATTCCTTCTAAAAAAGAATGCAGCCAACCACCAAACAGATGCTATTTTTTTTGTCAGTCGTGGGGCTTGAACTGTGGGCCTGGAAGCTGTCCCTCAGCTCTTCAACTCAAGGTTAGTGTTCTACCACTTGAGCCACAGCACCACTCCCAGTTTTCTGAGTGGTTTCATTGGAGATAAGAATCTCACAGACTTTCCTGCCTAGGCTGGCTTTGAACCATGATCCTCAGAGCTCAGCCTCCTGAGTAGCTAGGATTACAGGCATGAGCCACCAGTGCCTGGCTAGATGCTAATTCTTAATGTAAGGAATTCATCCCATTGTCTCTCTTAGAAACAAAGAAAGTACTACTTTTGTGTTTCTGTTTTCTGAGTTCTTGGCAGCCATGCACCAGGCCTCATTTTTCCTAATCCATCCTGTCTCATTTTCCCCTAGAAAGGACTTTGGTCCCTTTTTTTTGGTTCTGGTCATGGGGCTTGAACTCTGGGCCTGCGTGCTGTCCCTCAGCTCTTCAGCTCAAGGCTAGCGCTCTACCACTTGAGCTACAGCATCACTTGGTCCCTTATTTTTAAGGGACGTTTATGACTGAAGATCAGTCTTCTGTATTTGCTTTAAGCTGAGTTTTTTAGTTATTGGTTGCTGTTTACCATGCCTCATTTTCCCTATTTTATCCTGTCTCAGGACCATTGGCCTTACATTAATCAGTGACATTTGACATAGGGACTTTTATTTAGCCTCCGCTGACAATGCAGTGACTGAGGCTCATGGAGGCTAGTTAAGTCATCTGCTAAGTATCCCAGGATAAGTGAGACTTCAACGTGTAATGTGACTTCAAGGTTATATTCTTTTTGTTTATCCAGCACCAGCAATTGAACGCAGGATCTCAGGCTTACTAAACAAGTATTCTAAGCGGGGCACTGGTGGGCTCATGTCTATAATCCTAGCTACTCAGTAGGCTGAGATTTAAGGATCACTGTTTGAAGCCAGCTTGGACAGGAAAGTCCAGGAGACTCTTACCTCCACTCCAGTTAACCACCAGAAAACCAGAAGCTGCACTGTGGCTCAAAGAGGCTAGCCTTGAGCAAAAAGAACTCAGGGACAATGCCCAGGCCCCCAGTTCAAGCCACACACCTGACACACACACACACACACACACACACACAAAAGCAAAAACAAACAAAAACCCAAGTATTCTAGCAATTGAGGCAGGGTCCCAGCACCCGCCAAGGTCCTAGCCTTAACTACAGCCCTCCCTAAGATTGCTTCTAGCACCCCCTGTGGATACCAAGATCTACAGATGCTAAAGTCTGTAATTCAAAATGGTACAGTGTCTGCATAGAACCTAGACATGGCCTTTCTTTCTTTTTTTTTTTTTTTTGTCGGTCATGGGGCTTGAACTCTGGGCTTGGGCCACTGTCCCTGTGCTCTTCAGCTCAAGGAGAGTGCTCTACCGCTTGGGCCACAGCACCACTTCTGGTTTTTTTCTAATTGTTTATTGGAGATAAGAGTCTCATGGACTTTCCTGTCCTGACTGGCTTTGAACCACGATCCTCAGATCTCAGCGTCCTGAATAGCTAGGATTACAGGCGTGAGCCACCAGTGTCTGGTGGCATGGCCTTTCTTATATTTTAAATATTCTCCAGATAAGTTCCAATACCTAAAATAATGTAAATAGCTTCATACAGCATAGTTACACTGCAGTGCTTTGGGAATAATGACAAGAAAAGAGCCAGTACATGTTTAGTACAGACACAATTAGTAGAATATTTTTGATCTGAGCTTAGCTGGCCTGCAGAGCCAAATTTACTTGCTATATGGTGAACATAGAGAAAAAATACATTCTTTATCTCCTGTGGCTTGAACTCAGGGCGTAGGTGCTGTCCCTGAGCTTCTTTTGCTCAAGGCTAGCACACTACCAATTGAGCCACAGCTCCACTTCTGGCTCTTTGGTGGTTAGAGATAAGGCTCATGGATTTCCTGCCTGGGCTGGCTTGGAACCATGATCCTCAGATCTCAGCCTTCTGAGTAGCTAGTATTACAGGCAGATGTGAGCCACTGGCACCCGGTGAGAAGAATATATATATTTTTTTTAAATTTAATTTAATTTTATTTGTGAACATACTGTACAGAGGAATTACAGTTACATGGGCAGGATAATGCGTACATTTCTTACCAAGCATTGCAGCCTCCTCCTTTGTTTACCCTTCACATCCCTTCCCAGCCTCCCCCCTCCCCCCCTAATCCCAATCCTCCTTCTCCTTCTCCCTCCCCTCCCCCCCCCCCCCCCCCCCCCCCCCCCCGCACCAACGTTGTAAAGCTCGTTTTGGACATGACAACTTGTACTTCTCATTGTTGCAACAGGTCCACCTGTATCCTTAAACAACTGGTTTTGCCCCATCTCCTCCACAAGTTATACTGACATCAAATATAGTGAAAGCAGGGGTTATACTGTGGGGGAGGGACATACAAAGCAACAAAGAGATAATCTTATAAATGTTTTAGAAACACATGCATGAAAGAAAAAAACATTAAAATACACATCTAAGGGTTCATTTTCCTGACATCACATTATCTGACCTGAGAAGAATATATTCTTAAATGCTAGCATTTCCAAGTTGTGCTTCCCCAGGAGGTTGGAGCTTCCTATACTTTGGATTTACATCTCAATAATAGCTCAATCTTAGCAGGACTATTGTGTTGTGTAGTACTGGGGTTTGAGCTCATAGCTCAAATATTGCTAGACAGTACTTTACCACTTGAAACATACCTCCAGCCCTTTTTGCTTCAGTTATTTTTCAGCTAGGGCCTCATATTTGTGCCCTAACTGGTCTTTTATTATGCTTCCCAATTAGCTAGGATAACAGGTGTGTACCACCACACCCAGCTTATTGGTTGGAAGGGGTCTTGAAAAGTTTTGTCCAAGCCGGCCTCAAGTCCTGATTCTCCTTATCTATGATTCCAGAGGAGCTAGGATTATAGGCATAGGCCATCATGCCTAGCTGTCAGCAGTCCTTTGAAGTTAAGAAGTTCACCAGGCACCGGTGGCTCATGCTTTTAATCCTAGCTACTCAGTAGGCTGAGATCTGAAGATCAAAGTTCAAAGCCAGTCTGGGCAAGAAATTCTGTGAGACTCTTATCTCCAATTAATCACCAGAAAACCAGAAGTGGTGCTGTGGCTCAAGTGTTAGAGTGCTCACCTTGAACTGCTCAGGGACAGTGCCCAGGCCCAGAGTTCAAGCCCACAACTGACCAAAAACAAAAAACCAAAAATCCAAAAACAATGACCAGATCATGTTACCAAGCACAACTGAAGATGAATTTCTTAAATTCTTTTTTTTCTTTTTTATTTGTCAGTCGTGGGGCTTGAACTCTGGGCCTGGGCCCTGTCCCTCAGCTCTTCAGCTCAAGGCGAGCTCTCTACCGCTTGAGCCACAGTACCACTTCCGGTTTTCTGGTGGTTAATTGGAGATAAGAGTCTCACGGACTTTCTTGCCCTGGTGTGGCTTTGAACCATGATCCTCAGATCTCAGCCTCCTGAGTAACTAGGATTACAGGCATGAGCCAAGCTTGGTGACTGTTTTTGTGAAGATATATATCTTTTCCAAAGAAGTTCTGAGAAAGAGATTTAGGAGTGTTTTGTTCCCCTGAGGTCTGGAGTAGAGCAGCTAGAGCTACAGCTTTGGCTAACTTGAAAAGGAAAGGGAAAGAAGAGAAACTGAAATATCATTTCAAACTTTCCTGAGAACTTCTCTAAATATCTGGACTATCAAAGTCATCCCAAAGAAACTGAGTGGGGGTATGTAGGAACTCTTAGTCCTATCTTTGCAATTTTCCATAAATTAAAAAATATTTAGCAAGGCACTGGTGGATTATGAATGCAATGAGTATAACTCAGAAGGTTGAGACCTCAGGATTGCAGTTCAAAACCAGCCCAGGCAGAAAAGTCCCTGTGATACTCTTATTGCCAATTAACCACTCAAAATCCAGTAGCGGCTCAAAGTGGTAGAGCCCTAGCCTTGAGCAACAGATCTCAGGGATAGCACCTAGGCCCCAAGTTCAATCTCCATATGGACAAAAAAATATTCCCCAGGGACTAGAATGTAGCTTGGTGATAGAGTGCTTGCATATTGTATGCTAGTATCCCCAAAAGGGTGGCAATTACTAATAATTACTAGCCAAGCACCCATGTCTCACTTCTAACTATCTACTCAGGAAGCTGAGATCTGAGGATTGTGGTTTGAAGCCAGCTGGATAAGAAAGTCCTGGAGACTCTTATTAACTCCAATTATTATTAATATTATTAACTTATTAGCTCCAATTAACTACTGGAAGTTGGATCTGTGGCTCAACTGGTAGAGCACTAGCCTTGAGCAAAAGGGCTCAGTGACAGAGTCCAGACCCTGATTTCAAGTCCTAC